GCTAATCATGCTAAGTCTTGACACTTAAACTCAGCTGGTTTTCATTTATTCCAGGGTGAAAGAACCAAGAAGAGAGGAATGTAGAAAGATGGAGATCAGGCTTTAACTGTTAGTGTAACGCTGGACACTTGACAGATTGTTGCATCATCAGAGTACAAAGAAGCATTATTGCAGATTCTTCCTCCAACCAGTTGTTAGACTTTCTCACCCATTTTATAAGTGACAAATTCAGATTTTTATTAACTACAGAATGAAGTAAAGTTTTATTACTTTTTAATGTTATTAACAGGTGAATCTCCAGTTTCTTGAGAGTTTTCCTCTCATGAAAATATCCAGTTCAGATCTTGGTCTCTACCTCAATGTTGTCATTTTCTCATCATGTGATGAATTGTGTGTCTGTAGTTTATCAGGCTGTTTGGTCTCAGAGGAAGGCTGTGCTTCTCATACTTTCAGAGACAATAGAGCAGCTACTCAGTCTAAAGTACAACTGAAAAACCAACCAGTTGAGCAATATTTAACAGTCATGTTCTCTGTACCCTAAACTATAGATTAGTTAATAAATCTCATAACACTTATTATGTCAATAATGTCCAGTAAAAGAGGGAAACATTCATTCAAAGTCACTTTCAGATTGCATCAAAATCAACAATCCTGAGTTTCTAAATCTAAACTTTCTGAGAGCAGCTTGTTGATTAATGCTGATTCTGATTGGCTGGTTCTGATTGGCTGATTCTGATTGGCTGGTTCTGACATAGTTGAGTAATTCTGCAGAACAAAGGAGGAGGGAGAGGAGATTGATTATCATTATATTTATTTCTTTGTCCTAAATTATCTTTTATATTTGGGCATAGCGACAGTTTTAATATGTGAATTTTTGTTGTTGTTGTCATTTTTTACATTACCTGCTGCAGCTTTAAGCAGTGAGTTCACTGCAGGTGGAGGTTTAGCAGCACCATGTCTGTGAAATATAACTACCAGTAATGAATAGTGAAGGTTCAACAGCGAGAGGAGAACCAGCATCTTTCACTGCCAGCTTGAAGACTTTTTCTAGTTATTTCTGACCGTGATCCTAATCCAGGTGACTGTTGGTAGTTGAGCTGTTTTACCTGCTGTCTGGTCGTTCAGGATGTCATTTTGTTCCTGCATTGAGCCTCAATGTAGCCAAACTCTGTCAACTGCATGTTTTTAAATACCATATTAGATTAATTGTATTGATGCATTTTAACATGCTTCACCTCCGAGGTAATTTCCCGCTGCAATACACAAACTTCCCCACTCACTATCAGAGTGTTATAGTTATTCATGTCAGGATTTGTTGCTGTGCAGTGAGAAGGAAAGATGAGATGAGCTGCACATGCAGGCTGAGAAGTGAGATACAGGTGATCAGCAACAGGAGACAGTGATCAGTGATCAGCGATGAGACACTTTTTTACAGAAATCAGCTGATTATGATAGGTAACCGATCAATCAACTGACCTCTAATTAATTCATAAATATCATGTTAGGAAGGTCTAAGGATGGCATGCTCTTATTTTGCAGAACAAACTTTGGGATTAAATGGACTGTACAACTTTGCAAACAGCAGCCCATTAAAAGGGTTCTTTTAATGGGTTCTAGGATTCTTTCACCTGGTGCTTAATGTACCTAGGAAACCAAACCATCTACTGATATTTACTAATTATTTATCGGTACATTGTTTCCTAGTCTGCTGCTAGCAGGTGATGAGAAAAAGAGAGAGACTCTCATATGCAACTATTTATGATGTTACATGTTGAAGCAGCAGAAATTCTCTACTTTCTATTGAAATTGTCACTGAATTAATGCAGTTTATTGTAGATTTTAATATTTCTCTTGCCAGTGTCCTTGTTGCCTGTAGTTCAGTTCTTCAAGTCTTGAGTCCCAACTATAGAATAAATTAGTTCAAAATAAAGATATCATAAAGTTTTGAAAAATATGACCTATTCTTCAATAAATCCAAGAAGAATATATTTACTGCAAAGCAACACAAACATTTGATGGATTAATAACAGATTTTCCTCCCTGTCTCCTCAGACTGAGTGTCTGTAACCTCTCAGAGAGAAGCTGTGAAGCTCTGTCCTCAGTTCTCAGCTCCCAGTCCTCCAGTCTCAGAGAACTGGACCTGAGTAACAACAACCTGCAGGATTCAGGAGTGAAGCTTCTCTCTGCTGGACTGAAGAGTCCAAACTGCAACCTGGAAACTCTCAGGTAAAATGTTCTCAATCCTGGTGAAACCAGATTTCTGTCCATTACCTGCTATAAGATATTATGAACATTTTATTTCAGTATCAGATTATAACATCAGTAGATGTCTGACTGTGATGAAGCTAATCATGCTAAGTCTTGACACATAAACTCAGCTGGTTTTCATTTATTCCAGGCTGAAAGAACCAAGAAGAGAGGAATGTAGAAAGATGGAGATCAGGCTTTACCTGTTAGTGTAACGCTGGACACTTGATAGATTGTTGCATCCTCAGAGTACAAAGAAGCATTAATGCAGATTCTTCCTCCAACCAGTTGTTGGACTTTATCATCCATTTTACAAATAAATTTTTTCGATTTTTATTACCTACAGAAGGAAATACAGTTTTATTTCTTATTACTTTTTATTAACAGGTGCAACTCCAATTTCTTGAGTGTTTTCATCCTGTGAAAATATCCAGTTCAGACCTTGGGTTCTACCTCAATGTTCTCATTTTCTCATCATGTGATGAATTGTTTGTCTGCAGCTTATCAGGCTGTTTGGTCTCAGAGGAAGGCTGTGCTTATCTGGCCTCAGCTCTGACCTCCAACCCCTCCCATCTGAAAGAGTTGGACCTGAGCTACAATCATCCAGGAGACTCAGGAGTGAAGCTGCTGTCGGCTGGACTGAAGTTTCCACACTGGAGACTGGAAGCTCTCAGGTATGGAGGAACCTGCTGCAGGAGCAGAGAAGGTCTGATAGAGGAGGAAGAGGGAGAAATGTCTTTAGTCAGTCTGCTGGGAAATATTTAGTTTGAAGATTAAAATTGATTATGCTAATTCAGTATTTGTCTTGTATTTATTTCAGTTAAATTATAAATATCGCTGGTAATTTTGGCTTTGTAAGTTTGCAAACTACATCCAATTAGAAACTAGAAGAATATTTCACATGGTTCTGAATGAACCTGGGAAACCAACCCATCTACTGGAACCACAATAACATGGTATTCAGAGCAGCAGGGGGCCAAATATAGCTCCATGTGGAACCAAGAGGTTGGAGAGAGAAAATCAGTTGAAACTGTTTCCTATCAGAGTTCAGTTTGTCTCTCTGTCTTCACAAACCAGGAGCATCATGGGCTGGGCGGGGCTTCCACTGATGGATCTACTGAGGAAATACTAGAAGCTGATTGGCTGATGGACAGGAAGTTAAAATATGAAGATTAATAACATCATAGATCAGATATTATTGGTGTTGTGTATAGATGTAGTGCTGGATCACATGGTGTTATTAGTGATTATAGATCAGCTGTTGCTCACCTGGTGACTTTAGTCAGTGATGATGGAGGAGGTTTAGTTTTTACTGATCACTTTAAGCTTTTATGTTTTTATCTCTGATCTTTGTTTAAACCTGTTAATCTGGTTTTAATGCTTTTGGACACAAATATCTGTTTTCCACTGATGTTCTGGATCTTTGATGATATTGAGGGAAATAATTAGTAATAAAGAGACATGGCTGAGAGCAAATATAGATTTTAGAATAAGATTAAATGTTTCAGTGACAGAAAGAAAGAAACAAGAAACATAAATAGAGGAACTGATCAAGAAAGATATAATTATTAGCAATAACATGTAGTAACTTTAATGCATATGGAATATAATGGGATGGAAACAGAAAACTGAAAGTAACTGAAAGAGCAGAAGAACATTTAGAGATACGAACTGATGATGTTTGAATGATGGAAAAGAGACAAAAGATGTTGATGAAGGAAACGGATCAGTTCTTGATTTAACACTCGTGTTTAGGAAGATTCAGCTGATTGTGGAAAATTCTTCTGACTAAGAACGTGAGGAGAGCCTGGCTAAATAGGAACTGGAAATAATAATGAATTTATTCTGATTCAACTTCTTCAAACTGTCACATCACTCATTCAGGAGTCTAAGGAGTTCAGCTGTTAGATTCCTGTGATGATTTACTGAGGATAGAAACATTAAAACCATGTTGGATGGAGCTTCAGACCAATCAGCCCCCAGAAGCAAAGAGGAGAAGAAAAGCAGCTCCATGGTGATCAGATGGATGTTTAAAGATCTCAGAGTGAAATAAATACATTCAGATTTAAAGCAAACCTTAAAATATAAAACACATGAAAAAGTAAAGAAAACTATTCATAAGGCAAAGAGATTTAGAAGTTTAGTAGATCCATCTATGTGACAGTTTATGTCCACCAGGGGGCGACATCTGGAAAATGATCAAAAGTATGAATAAAATCAGGGAATATAAGAAATCCCTTGTTTTCCAGAAGGAAGGAAGAATTGAAGTGAATGATGAGGAAAAAGTAGAAAATGTAAAAATGAGAGCAGAAACTGGTTCAGATCCAAAGTTCTGATAAATTTACTAGGAAAGATAAAAAGACAAGATCAGCTCATCCAGAACTTCTGCAGTGGAGGGAGGATTACTTTCACAATCCATTACTGCAGCTGCTGGATTCAGGATGCTTCTTCTTCTTCTTGGGCTCATTGTAAATGTGTGCAGCGCCACCTGGTGGTGCTGGTTGGTAGAGGACGTGCTGAAAGAGATTGATGGTCTGACCCCCTCCTCCTTTCAGGGTGGAGCCTGCTGGAGGCCCATTCTTGACTCCAGGTCCATGGAGACTGAAGAGATGTAAGTGTGTTTTTCATCTGATTCATGACAACAAATCAGCTCACATTCAACCATCTTTCAAACTGTCACATCACTCATTCAGCAGTCAAAGTGTCAATAAATGATCAATAACTGCAGCTGGATTGTGTTTGTTCTCCATCAGATTCCTGTCAACTCACCATCGACACAAACACAGTGAACAGAAAACTCAAACTGTCTGAAGACAACAGGAAGGTGACATGGGTGGAGGAGCTTCAGTCATATCCTGATCATCCAGACAGATTTGATAACTGGCCTCAGCTGCTGTGTAGAACTGGTCTGACTGGTCGCTGTTACTGGGAGGTCGAGTGGAGAGGAAGAGTTGATATATCAGTGAGTTACAGAAGAATCAAGAGGAAAGGAATCAGTGGAGACTGTTGGTTTGGACATAATGATAATTCCTGGAGTCTGAGCTGCTCTGATCGTCATGGTTACTTTGTCTGGCACAATAACTGTTCAACTGGTCTCTCCTCCTCCTCTGACTCTAACAGAGTAGCAGTGTATGTGGACTGTCCTGCTGGCATTCTGTCCTTCTACAGAGTCTCCTCTGACTCACTGATCCTCCTCCACACCTTCAACACCACATTCACTGAACCTCTGATTCCTGGATTTGGAGTCTGGTTCAGTTCTGGTTCCTCAGTGTTTCTGAGCTGATTTGAGTCTAAAGAGTCTAAAGATTTTCATCCTGCTAGAAAATCTCACTGATTAAAAGATAGTTCAGTCTCTATATGTCTGTTTCATTCAGAAACATAATTTCATGGATCCAATCTGTTTCTTGGTTAAACTTTTCTACACAACCCGGGGATTATTCCAGGATTATTCCAGGATTATAACTGGATCAACATGTTTTATCATTTTCCAGTCAAAAATTCACAATGAATCTCAGGATGTTTTTTTTTCTCTCTTGATTTTTTACCTTTCATTTATCATCAGACTCTTTGAATGTACTGCAGTTTTTCTCAATTACTGAATATTTTTTGTTTCTGTTATCTCCTATATTTTTAAATTCATCTTGGATTCAAATGTTATTTTTGTATATTTACTGCAGTTGTACTTCATGTGTTTTATTGAACAATGAACATTTTATTTATTTGCTGCTCATCCTCTTCTGTTCCTGTTTAAATGTCAGTAGATTATTTTTCAATTTCAACTCTGACTTGTAATTTACATTTAAACATTCCCATATTGAAACATTTTAAAATAAATATTTAGTTATTTTTTCTTTCTTTCTTAAAAATGTTTTCTATGTTTCATAAGTTTCAATATAATCTCAACAATTCCCCCTTTTTGAAGTATTTTCTATATGGAAATACATCAATCAAAGTCCACTACTGCAAATAAAAATTCAGATGGAACAGATTCATCATTGTACCTTCAAACAAATCCTTAGTATTCAATGCTAAGTTTTCTTTCTCCATTTCACTGTTCCAGGTATCTTTTATACATGATAGTTTATTTTTCTACATCCAACACCTTAGTTTCGCTACTATTGTTACTGTTTTTATATTTGATCAATTAACCTGGTGTCTTCAAAGAATTGCTACCTATCATAACGTTTTGTCAAATTTCACAAGGTAGAACATTCTGATTGAGTCCTTGGAAACTTTTTCTCCTTCCAGTCCTTTAAAGATGGAAGCTGAGATTATTGCAGGATTATTCCAGGATTTGTTTCCAGTCGAAGCTTCACACTGAATATCAAGATGTTTTTTCTCTTATTTTGTCCTTTTATTCATCAGTTTTCATTGAAATATTGATCAGTTTTTCTCAATCTGATCATTTTCTGTTTCTATCGGCTCCTATCTTTCTCAACATGTCAGATTTGAATATTAAATCTTCCTTTTGTAAATTTGCTGCAGTTTTTCTTCATGTGTTTTAAATAAAAACATTTTTCTTCAGCATTTGGTTCATTTGCTGCTCATTTTGTTCTTTTCCTGTTCAAATTTAAATATTTGCATTAAAACATTTTTTCATCAACTCTGCCTTTCAGAAAGTCCTAATTAAAGTAAAACATTCCCATCCCATGAAGGTCAGAGGTCAATGCTTTGAAGCATAAAGTGGGAAAATCTTAATATTTTCTGTTTCATTCAGAACTTCTACCTGAAACTCAGAACCTGCAGAACATTTTTCTCTTTGGAGAAAAATCTCAGGAACTGGAAGATCAGAGCAGAACGAAAACTGGAGATCAGTGTTGGACAGAAAAGGTCTGATCGCTGCATCTCTGCTATATTTTACATCTGATAACAAAAAGTAAACCTGTTTTTAGCTGAGAATAAATTAACATGAATATGACCCGCCACAGCGCCAATGTGGGCCACACCTGATTCAACCCAACGTGGAAAATAAAGGATTTAATTGGAAATCCCAAAACACAGTAAAATAAACAGCAGGTTGTGATTAAAATGCAGTTTGTTGCAGAGGTTCAAACTTCCTGATGGTGACCTCTCTTCCGTCCCTCAGCTTATCTGACCTCTTTTAATCCTCACTGCAGTGTTAGACTGGAGCTAATCTCTCAGATTAAACAGATTAACTCTGTTTAATCAACAGGAACCAAACTGGAAATGCAGAGCAGACCAGAACCAGAAGACCTGAGAGGTTGGGAAGGTTGATACAACAGCAGATCTTTGATGTATTGTGGTGCTAAACCGTTCAGTGATTTAGCACCACAATATTTTAACAGTATTTTAAAGTCTATTCTTTGAGCTACAGGGAGCCAGTGGAGGGACTTTAAAACTGGTGTTATGTGCTCTATCTTTCTAGTTTTAATGAGAACACGAGCAGCAGCGTTCTGGATCAACAGCATCTTCACAGGCCTGTCCAACAAATCAATCAAACTGCTGCAGCTGATCCAGAACGCTGCTGCTCGCGTTCTCATTAAAACCAGGAAAATAACACCAGTTTTAAAGTCCCTCCACTGGCTCCCTGTAGCTCAAAGAATAGACTTTAAAATACTGTTGTTAGTTTACACATCACTGAACGGTTTATATTTGAAACAATACATCAAAGATCTGCTGTTGTATCAACCTTCCCAACCTCGCAGGTCTTCTGGTTCTGGTCTGCTCTGCATCCCTAGAACCAAACCCAACCAGAACCAAAGCATCTATGCACCAAAAATTTGGAACAAACTTCCAGAAAACTGTAAAACAGCGGAACCCCCGACTTCCTTTAAATCTCAACTAAAAACGCACCTGTTTAGAATTATATTTGAAACATAATATGTAACAATGTATTATTTATTCAATGTTGCATGGTTTTGTGTTTTGTGTTCATGATGGAAAGCACTTTGAAATGCCTTGCTGCTGAAATGTGCTATACAAATGAACTTTGATTGATTGATTGATCTGAAAACTGCTATCAAGTCAAGTTTATTTGTATAGCACATTTCAGCTGCAAAGCAATTAAAAGGGCTTTACATAACAAAACACAACTAAAGTCATAAAATAACACATTTACTTAAAAAGGAAAAACAAAGAAATTAAATTCAAAGTAAAATCAAATATAAAATCATACATTAAATATATTGATACATGTGCCATTAATTAAGATTCAGAAACAACTATATCAGAATGAGACCTTGTATGAATATTCATGAGGTCTTGCTATTACACAAACCTGCCAAAGTGGGCAATGTGGTGATACACAGATTATACACAAAATCAGGTTTATGTGAATTAAACGGACATCTCATTTTGTATTTTTATTTTTTGCATTTTTGGGCTTAATGGACCAATAGAAACCTTTCTACGTTTTTAGATTTTTGTCAAAATTAGCAGGACACGGCTCATGTCCTGTTAATTCAAAATGTCCTTCTAGTGTGGTCTGTATTCTGACAAAATGTCCTTGTAATCCATATTTACCAACATACACACACACGACAACACAGGAACTATCTTTTATCTACTTTCATTTTCAACCTTAGTTGGTGAGATTTGACAAAAATCCAACATTAAGTGGTCAAAATGTGAGTCAGGTAGAGAAAGTGCAAAGGATTGAAGCATCTCAACGTCAGCATGTGTGAAAGAAGGGGCAGTTACTGCCTGAGGCCTCTGGGCAGCTAGCTTAGCAGCAGCATCAGCTCTTGCATCGCCATTGGCAACCGAGTCATCCAGCATCCTATTACCAAACAGAACCTCCATTCATTATTTTACCCATCTACACTATAAATTATAACATAGTGCAATACCATATCACCATATCATTGGTCAATCTATCCACCAAATTGCTATAATTTCCTTTTGTGTTGTATTTATATTCTTTGTTTTGTATTTAATTTGTATTTTTTTGTATTCTTTTGTGTATGCTTACTGTGTGCCACATTTTTGCCTGTGAGCTGCTGGTAACTATAATTTCCTGAGGGAGTCTTCCCAAGGGATCAATAAAGTCAAGTCTAAGTCTAAGTCTAAGTCTAAGATATGTGAGAATGATGGTGAATCAACTGAATTTGGTCCAGATTTATTTTTGTGGTAAAACTCCAATTAAAGGAAGCCTAGTAAATGTTTAAGTTTATTGTAAAGTCCAATTTTAAGTTTAGTTTAAAATCTGTTTCCAATGGATTTAATTAATCCAAAACATTGTGTAACATATTATGTGACATTGCGAATCAATCAGCAAAGCATCCCATGATGCATTTCATCAAAATGTTCATACATTATATTGTGCATTATGTCATAATAGACGCCATTTGCTATTTCTATTCAGTAATTTCCAAAGAAAGAATTTAAAAGCTTCAGAAGATTTGAGTTTGATAGTTTTGTTTTTTAAGTAAAGAGCAAGGAATGGAATGTAAAGCAGCTAAATTGTTGGTTTTATTCAAAATGTTTTATGTCAATATGAAAAGTAATTTCTACAAATAAATCCCTTATTATTCTACAAAGTAAATAAAATATTTAAAACCCATTTAAACTGTTTTATTAATCTTTAATATGTAAATACTAACAATAAAAATTAATGCTCTGTTATTATATAAACATCCATTTATTCTATCAAGCATGGCAGGTTTTTTCTTTCTTCCTAAACTCTGTGAAACTCAAAGGGAGGGGTGATAACGATGAGCATTGCTATGGAAACTGAAGGCGGGAACAAATCCAGCAGGTGGGAGGAGCTAGGAGGTGTCAGTCTCAGACAGGTCAAAGGTCGAATGTAGGCAATCCTACTTCCTCCTTACACTGTTAGAATAAACAGAGCAAAATATAATTTTGGTTGACAAAGTATGAAAAATAAAAATTACCATCCTGAAGACAAACTAAGATCTCAGATCATCTCATGCAATATTCCTTTAGACACTTAAGCTGCTTAATCAAACACTAACTAATTTTAGTTTAGTGAACAATAGTTATCAAACACAAAACACACAAACATTCACTCCAACATGAAACAGACAAACAAATAGTCAGAATTTGAAATCAGTCAAAATTTAATCCCAGTCAATAATTTCCAATCAGTCCTCATTTTGTCTATTTTCTCAGATTGTAATTATCAAATTGACTGAAGCTTCAAGATTGTCTGATTTTTCTCCTTTTAACAATATATTTTAATGTTTGTACTGAACTCTAATCTACAGGATATTTTTTTAAGTGATGTTTTCACAGTCAAAGCAGAAATCTCAATATAATTTAGGATTACAGAAAAAATTGATCAAGTTTCTGCTGAAGCTTCACTAATTTTAGGTTTTGTTATAACAAATAGTTCCAGGAAAACCGAAGGTCTTTTTCACATCTTAGTTCAAATGTATCACAGCTCTATTTTATAAGAATTTTCTTCTATTCAATTTAAATGCCACAAATATTATCTGGTTTACCAAAATGTTATAAACACTGCAGTATTAATGATCTCTGATTCTTAACCCTGAAAGATGTTTTGTTTATTCCCATACTAATATGTAACTACAGCATAGATCTTCAACAAGGAAAACAAAAATAAATCTCAA